TATAAACAAAAAGAAATACACAAATAATATTTCTTCTCCGCAAATATTATTCTAAATATTATTATAATTTATTATCTCGAAACGCAAGAGTATCTAATAAAATTATTTTAAACCAGTAAAAGAAGATATATATGTATAATAGGTAATAATAATTGTGGTAATTAATTTTGACAGCACGTTATTAAGTGTCAACAAATAGACACATTTTTTTCTTCTCTTTTTTATTACAATTATTTATATTTTATATGCTAATAAAAATTATAAATTGAATTCTATATTTCTCTATTCTTTTTTTTTTTTTTTAAACTCACATTCAATCCACTGTTCTAATTAACCAACAAACACAAAAAAGTCTACATGTATGTACGTATGACCATTGACGAATCAATTCGTAACAGTGTACCGAATGCACGATCTAGGTCAAAAGTATTAAAGATGACCGATGACTCACTGTCGAGACCCATTTAAAGCACGACAGATCTATCTATTTATCTATCCATCCATCCATCTATTCATCTATCTATCTCTTCATCGTACGTAATTTACAATTAATTTCATAACTATTGTTTTACATCAGTAAAATGTCAAATTAAATCATCTCATCGAATAAATTCGTCATTAACAAAATTCCACGCACAAATCCAAACGATAGAAAATCAATTTCGATCGATTTTTTACCCTACTTTTTTTTTTTCTTTTTAAATTCGTCTAACTAAAAATGCGAACGATTGGTATGCAATTATGATAATAATAATAATAATAATAATCAATAAAAAAAAAAGGAAAAGTAGAATTCCCATTAAATTGTATTATCTAGAAAGTGATGGTATTATTATAAAACAACAACGTAGTTTTTTGTTGGGGAAGGGAGGGTGTTAAACATCGATCGATCAATGGCTTTTGCTTCTTTGAGAGAAAGAGAGAGAGAGAGAGAGAGAGAAGAATATTTATTCGAGTCACCGACCCCTGGACACGATCGATCGTCCTATTTCTGTATATTCCGGGCCAATGTCCGTAGATTCGATAAATTTTCATGTTGCATACGAAAGAGAGGAATAATTAATTAACCTAAAACTACCCCCTCCGACTTCCCCGTTCCCATAACTTATGAATAATTACGTTAAACGTTCAATTTTAGCTGGCGCGATACGATTTAACAATAATTATACAAGGACAAGAAAGAAATTCGACTATTTTTTTTACCAAAGAAGAAGAAAACTTTGACTACATATATATATATATATATCTATTTTTTTTTCATTGAAGAAGAAGAAGAAGAATAATAAAGAAACAAACATGAAAGCCAAGACTTTAAGAAAAAAGAAAAAAAAAATAGGTCCAACAAGTCGAGAAAAAGAAAAGAAACCAAATCTACTTCAAAGCAATGAAATTAAATTTAAAGGAATTGCGAGTCGAGTCGAGTTTAGTTTAGTTTAGTTTAGTTTAGTTTAGTTGTGAAGAAGGTATTTTCGCGAGAGTTTTAAGATGAGATAACAAAAAAGTCAATATTTAAATCGTAAAATATTTAAAGAGAATCTCCGAAAAAAATAAGGGCACGCAAAAATTCTAAGTGGCTAATCTAAAATAACGCTAACAACTCAAACTCAACCAAACCAAAAGCGCCCCCGATCAGAATTTCTTCCTATTTAATTCCATACCCCCACCCACCCCCCTTCCCGTTTTTGAATTTAATTTAATCACCCAGGGGCAACACGTGTATTCACATTCATCCTTTTGTCCTAATCCTCTTCTCGGATTACAATTCCTTATACAAATGTGGATTTTACAATATTATATTTTATTTAAAAAAAAAAAAAAAAAAAAAGAGAGATTAATTTAAATCGTATCGAAAATAAGGGAAAACGTTGTCGTCGGAGTTTGTTCGGAAAGGGAAGGGGAAAAAAAAAGAAAAAATTAGAAAAATGAACAGAAAAAGAGATGTGGTCGAGCCAAAGAGAAAGAGAAATAGGGGAAAGAGAGAAGGGGGAAGGAGAAGGAGGGGGAGGGAAGTTTTCGCACGGAATAGAGAGCACGTCGTTCCCACATCACACATCTTTCCGTTCGAAGCTGTTCTGCACGTGGTGTTCAACATCCGCGTGTGTTTCACCGTTTTGTCTGCATAAACAACCAACAAACAACACACAGATGCAACACTAGTTTTTGCTATTAGGTTTTATATATTATACATATTTTTTAAACTTATCCCTGTGAGAAGTTTTGTTTTTAGATACGAATTCTTCGCTACGCATTAATTGGATTAATTTAATTGTGCAGCGTTGAATGCAACGATTGTAATAAAAAATTGATGTGATCGCATTGTCGTTGTCGTTGTTGTTGGAAATGTTTTAACGATTAACAGTATTGTCGGCGTACGAATAGGAAGAGAATATTCTGATAGGAGGACGTGTTAAAATTAATTTTACACTAAATTGTATTTAATTTTGGTAATAATAAAAGTATTAACGAATGTTTATTAATATTTAATAATTTTAAAAAATGTACACTTTTAAACGAACGTGTTATTGTTTCTTTCCCCGCTTAAGGGAAATCGTTGTTCAAACGAAATAAATATTTCGACGGATTAAATATGATTAAAAATATCTTACAATAATTATTAGATAACATATTGTGAATTAAAACGAAAAAATGATTATTCGTTATTTTTGATCATTCCATTGCAAAAATTAAAAAAACAGGTTTATTCTATTACGTAAATCATATCAACACGTTAATCGAATCGTCATTAGAAAATTTCTTCGCACACGTTACCAATGTTACGGAAATTATCTAAAGAAAAAGTTGAATATTTTATGTAATAAAAAAAAGAAGAATAAGAAGAAGAATCAGAAGAAGAAAAAAAAAGAAAGTAAATTCTTTAAGTGAAACGAGTTGTGTGTGATTTCCTTAAAAGAAGAAACCACGATTAAAATTCGTCGATTCTCTAACAACTAACAACAGTGTTAGGCCTATTGTAAGTGAAACTTTGGCCTTTCATTCAAATTTTTCACGAGGAATCGCAGGGAAGGTCTGACGACGATGGGAGAACAAATTTATAAAAAATGAAAAAAAAACGAAAAGAAAAGAAAAGAAGAAAAAGAATCTCTCAAAGTGACACGTGAGAAGATAGCAGATCCATAATCTGAATTGCGAGATATTGTGCACTGTGCCAACTTACGAAACGAAACAAAGATCATTCTTTAGAGAAAAGGTTCTCACATCGGATACGATTAAACTCTCTCTCTCTTTCTCTTTCTGTTTTTTATTTAATTTTTTTTCTTTTTTTACATACATTCCATCACATTTTCAATTGTCCTCGTAAAGAATCGGGAAAACAAGAAATGTTCACGTTGCTAGATAGTACCGTTAGTTTGAACAAAAAAATTCATGTAATCCTAACAAGAACATGTCGAAAACATCACGTTTAAGTCCTTGAACTTTACTAGGTACAATTTTCTTAACCTAAGTCTAACGATCAAGGTCTCGTTTTAAAGATGAAAAACGTTTTCGAGCTTGAATTATTAAATAAACTATTCTTTTTATATAGAAACGTTATATTAATCGTTCTCGAAATAAAATTACTATAAGCCAATTATTTGTTTCTCTTATTTCTTTTTCACAGAATAATTTTTATATAATAAGTATACTCATGAGTACTAATTTAGCAACGAGCAAATAGGAAAAGCAAACACGACTTATCCGACGATTCGGTGAACGAGTAGGTGCCTTTTTTATAAAAATAAGGGGGGATGGAATGGGGGGAGGGAGAGAAAACAACCAAACAAAGAAAGAAAAAGATACAAATAAAAAGTAGATCGCACAAAAGGCAACTCGTTTTCGTAGACCAACCTCTGTACGTGCCCGTTTTGCTGGATCTATTCATTAAAATCTAACGGCGTAAATACGTAGATACATGTGTGTGTATATATATATATACACCGTTATAGTACGTGGTATAACGAACATAAAGTTTTTTTATGGTAAAAAAAAAAAAAAAACATCCAATAAACGTGTTGCTTCTACTCTTCGTTATAAGACATTTTTCGTTTTCCCATTTTTTCTTTTCAATTGAAATTCTCTTTTACTCTGCCAATCGTTCTAACTCTTACCATCTTTTATTTTCTCTCTCTCTCTCTCTCTCTCTCACACACTGATTCTAACCTCAATCTTTTACTTTTTCTGTCTGCTCGTATCTCTGTATCCGTTTCTTTCTTGCAATTGGAACATTTTGTACTGAAAAGCCGTAAGAAAAAAAAGAAATAATTTCCAAAATTTAACATTAACTGTTAACTGTTTAACTTTTATGCCACACGCATAATTAATTGAATGTACGACGAAACAATGTATTTTTTTCAAATTTCTTTTATCGTTGTTACGCCCATGGAACGAAATAAAAATGGCGGCACATTGCGAAGTGTGATTGTAGAATTTTTTTATTGGACATATTTAATGTATAAGTAAATGACCATATTTTCAAGATGTTTTTTCCCCGGCCATTAAGTTCTAGTTTAATAAAATTATGCGCGAATATACGATGCGCAAACAATCGGTAATAAAGAATAAAATTTATATATAAAATAATAAAAAAAGAGAAGAAAGAATATGTGGAAACAATACTAACCTATAAAAGATCTATCGTATTAAAACGTTTTTACGAGAAATTTATTAACGATCGAAGAAACAAAAAGGAGTGTAGAGTAATCGATGAGAGCAAGAATGTTCCCTAATAATAGCTCGTACTCGCTAACTATATTTGCCCGTAGAAGCTATCAAGAAAACATTCGTTTTTAGCGCCATCTTGTAAATCGAGATGCGCATAAAATCGCAACTCTAAAAAGGTTTGTTCGCGTAGATTCAATTTAATGAATAAAATCATGCGAGCCCGATTATTATTATTTAAAATCACGTCTACACCTTTATGAAAATTTTATAAACTTAAATATTCTAATCCCACGAACAAACCTTTTTCTCTTTAATTTAATATAAATAAGAAAATATCTTACTTTTTAACTATAACTCGCAACTGTCGCCACAGGATCCATGATCGAACCTCGGTGTATGAACTCTTCTAAAAAAAATTAAAAAAAACACACAAAAATAAATCTTATAAAAATGATAACGAATGTATTTGACAAAAAAATGTTACGAATTTAAATAATGTTATCATATAAATTAGCATGAAAAAAAGAAATGAGACAAATTATTTAAAAAATTATGCACGATAACATAATCATTGAATAATTATACGAGAAAGAAAAAATCTAATTGCATGGTTAACTTTCTGGTCCCTAGTTAACAAGAAGTAAAGTACGAAGGGATGTGAGGAGGAGGAGGAGGAGGAGGAGAAGGGAGGGGGTGGTTCGAAATGAGGCCCTGGAGGAAATTGGTAAAGCCGGTTGGACATCGATTATGCCAAGGTAGATTAACTTTAGCATCGATTAGGCGAAATGTTAGATCCTGAGAACCCCGATAGGGTATCATTTAATTAAAACTTAAAGGGTTCTTCAAACATACGTCTAAGAAAACGTCAACTACATAACGTTCCTTTTCGTCTCAACAAATATTCTCGAAATTTCGTCAACCGAAAACACGAATTGTTTCATTTGATTCTTTCTTTAGTTATAATGACAATGATATGAACGTAACTAATAAAAATAACATTTTTATTATTTCAAGATAGATGCACGTATACGATACATGCATAAACTTTAGTTTTTTTGCATTTTAGTCTCTCATTGTCAATCTATGTTTCTGCTTTCGTGTAACAGGAGCTGAAAAACACTGAACGTGACCCGCTTAGTTGATGCTATGAATAGTCTACAGAGAACAAGATAGAACAAGAAAAAGAGAGAGAGAGAGAGAGAGAGAGAGAGAGAAAGAAAGAGAGAGGGAACGTGCACGTGGATAGTACGTGAAGTGGCCCATGTACAAACTGTAAAGCACCGAAGAAACGTCAAATAAACAAGCTCAAAGAGAGAGAGAGCAGGTCCAATTTCAAACTTCCGACCGAGTTAAGGATCACTCGAATCGCATGAATGTGAAGAAAATATAAGTGATCTCTTTCGTTAAAGATAACATTTTGCGGTTAAACTTTTCGTTTAAATTACGACGAGATGCACTAAATATTAGACTAATACGATGTAAGGTTTTTTCTTTCTTTTTCTTTTTTTTTTTGTTTCAATACTCAAGTAGAACGAAGTACTTAAATTCTCGAGTCAATAATTGGAGCGAACTGAATTATCGGAAGAAAAAAAAAACTTCTAAGCCGATATAAGGTAAAAAAAGATCAAAAATTATATATTCGACTAAATGAAGAAGCAACGAAAAAAATTGCCTCTTTATTCGGGGTCATCCACGAATTCAAGGATTCACTCTTGTTTTTGGTCTTATTATAATTACAACGAGGGAATGAAAATTGTCACGTTGAAATGAGGGGGAAAAAAAAATGGGAAAAAAAACCTGTTTGCACACACACACACACAACGCATCGTAGAATAAATAATAAAAATTTGCGTGCGTGCAGCATGCGTGCGTATATGTGTAGACGTATGCGTGTGTATGTGTGTATGTTGAGGAAGGGGAAGTAGAAAAAGGAGAAGAAGAAGACTTCTTCCTTTGTTCGTTCGAATCGAAGCGAGCACCTCTGCTAACGACGAAAGGTGAGGCGAGAATAATGGCCCTCGTAAACCGGTTGCAACGTCGTCCTCGAGACGAAGACAGCGAGAGTTCGGCCAATTTTGACTTAACGGTAAACAAATGCTATTACGAAGGTGCGAAGATACATCGAAATCGTGCCAGTTGTCGTCCCCTTTCCATGATCCACCCCCTCCTCATCACTTTTTCTTTTTTTTTTTCAAATGATATCCCAAAAATTCAATCCCTCATCCTCCTGTGCTCCTATTTTGTATCAACAAATTTAAATTTAACGAAATTTACCACCCCCTGCCTCCCCCCCATTTGTTCGGAATTCAAAATTTTAAGTATAAAATCATTATAACGAACTATAAATTATACGATACTCACGAAATGATTAGCCTAAAAAAAAAAAAAACAATTAGGGAACTCGATAATTTTATGTTTTAATACGAAGTGTCGTTTTTTTGTGATATTAAAAAAAAAATAGAAAGAGAAAAAAAACAGTAACGATAATTATTCGTCGGACGTTTGTAATAATTACTGCTGTAACTGTTTGTGAACACTGGTAAAGAAGAAGAAAAAAAATTGAGCAATTTTTAAAAAAAAGAAAAAAAACCAACGAAATGAATGTAGATAAACGCAGAATGCAAATTAAGAATTGAAATACCTGGGCGAATGAAAAAAAAAAAAGGAAAAAAAAAATATAGAAAACATATTTTTATGCAATAACGTTATCTTCGCGATCGTTAAAAAAAAGGATAACAATAATAATTTGTTAGATATTTTTGGTATAGCGCCAAAATAACTGCCACAGAGTTTTTCTTCCCACGCATCATCTTCTTTTGAGAGAAGACGTATGGTATTATATGCGTAGGAGTTCTCGAATCGTTTCTCTTTCATCGTTACGTAACGCACAAATTTCCTAATTCAAGAATAAAAATATTGAACGATGTGAGGGTCACACCACACGCGCGATGACTACATTTTTCTGATTTTATATTACATTAAAAAAGGAATACTATTTTTTACATTTCCTTTTTTTATTTTTTTTTTTAACAATTATAAAACGAAACAAATTTCCTCATAGAAATTAAGACTAATCTTAAAACGACACGCCGACGACGAATACTTGCATCTTTTATCTTTAAAAAAAAAAGAAAAAAAATTTAGAAAACTATTAAAGTATAATAAGAATTTTGAATGAAAAAAATTAAATTACCAGTACTTAGTTTATTCTTTTTGCTTAAACGTGCAATGAAATTTAATATATACGCTTTTTAATACGAATTGTTGTTTTTGTGATATTAAAAATAATAATAAAAAAATAACGATATTTTATAATATTATATATTTATAATAATATGTAATATATGTAACATATATATGAATCTTATCGCGTGTATATTAATTCGTAATTATTATAGCATAATAAATGCAACTATATCAAACTTCTATAATAAAATATTGCTTATTCCAGTTTATATAGAATTATTAGCGATTGATAGAGAAGTCGTAAATACGAGACAGCATCGGATAAATTTATTGGCTTCCTATTTACTATTAGTATGCGTAGATTTACATACGTGAGAGTATTTACAAATTCATGTGCACTCTAGGAAACACGCGTATGCATTGAAACGGGCTACTGATTTTAAGTATACACATGCAATCGGAGCATCAAGCTCAACGTTCCAACGAATATTCTCTCTCTCTCTCTCTCTCTCTCTCTCTCTCTCTCTCTCTTCCTCTCTCTTTCTTTCTGTTTACAAATATTCTGCTTCATGAATATAAACACACGCATACACACACACAGAGACTCTATCTTTTTTTTTTTAAGCCTTTGGTCTTATTTCGTGAAACTTTCATCAATGATAAAAAGCAATTTATAAACAAACGCGATGACACGAAAAAATAACGATTGACGATAAAAAAAAAAGATGAAAAATATATGCACATATATATTTCTTATTAACACATACATAAACCACATGAAAGAAATTTTCTTTTATAAAGAATGCATATATATATATTTGTATACTCTTATTCCGAGATTTGTTAAATTTTTAAGCGTGCTAATTGTACGTTCGAATGCTTACAGGAGTGACCCTTAATTAACGACTATGAAAAAAGAAAAATAAAACAACAACAAAATAAAAAAAAGGGGGATGGGACAAATGACGTCGTGCAATCTAGGTCAGAACGATTCTGGGGCTCTGAATGTGTGTGTGTGTGTGTGTGTGTGTGTCGTGTTTATATGCGCGAGCGCACTTATACGGTTTGTGAGACTTTATAATAAACTGCAAAAATGTTTCTAACAAAATCGTAATAGTTAGTTCAGTAACGTTAGAAATATCGATTATGTTGATGATGAACAAAGTTTTATATAGTCGAGAATCGATTAAATTTATTCAATGTACAATGTTCAATGTTCACGTATACGATTCGATAAGTTTATACAATAAATAATCGAATACTATGAACATCAATTTTGATTAATCGAAACGCATAATACCGATAAGATTTTCTGTTGAAGGGGGGTGGCAGGGGGTGTTGGGCTCGAAAAGTTTGTATCGATTTATATAAATAAGTATATAAAAAAAAAAAACAAATATATTTAATTTCATTTTTATGTGAACATCTATAAGATTATATTATATTTTCTCTAATATTAGATTTAATTTAAAAACAATATAGCAATGAAAATGAATCCTGTATTTTTGATTATTAAAAAAATGCACACAAAAAATAATATTACATTAGATTAACGATATTTAGGCGATGAAAAAAAATAAATCATAAAATTGAAATATAATTAAAAGTGTATATATATACGAATGAATTTTCTTAATAATAAAAAAACAATTGACAATATTATTACATTTTATATTTATTTTATATCAACGACGAATTACGAAATAACTACACACGAATATCTTAATTCAATTTTTATTAATCAACACAAAATGAACTCGCAAAAATACAATCGAAAGAATAAAAACAATACGAAGAGATGGGGATATACATACGTACAAATTATTATACCATGTCAAATTAACGTGTCAATTATTGTAAATAATCCATCCATCCATCCATCCCCGTGGGCGCGCAAAGATTAAGAAAAATAAATAAAATACAATTCACCGTTAACTGATTTATATATTTTCTTATACTTTACAAAAAAGAAGGAAAAAAAGAAAAAAAAAACCATAATCCCGTAAAGAATAATCGTCTTTGACCATAATAATTGTCGTATAGTCATCGAGTAAACGATAGAAAGTGGAGAGCGTTAGAAATGATGAAAGAAATAAAAAAAGGAATAGAAGGAGGAAAAGGGGGACAGGAGGGTAAGAGGAAAGGAGTAGAAGGTGGTGGACGAGGAGGAGGAGTAGGAAGAGGTGGAGGGAAGGGGGAGAATGAAGATCGATCGGCGATCATCGGCCACGCTTTTTTGCATTTCCAATGTCCGAGGAGGTAGTACCAAGCACAACACATAGCAAAAGTGGACGATTCCAATGGTGAACCAAGAGAAAGCTCACATTCGAACGAACGTTCGGAAAGCTGTCGATCTTCTCTCTCTTTCTCACTCCTGTGTGTGCATGTATATGTGTATGTGTGTTTCGAAAAAGAAGGGTGGATCGAATCGAAATGGCATTCGGCCAAACTCTCCCGCGCTCAAACGTACACATTATTAAACCGTCGCCGGTTGTTTATCGCGATTGCTGTCCCAACGCTCATTATCGAGCGGTACGAAAACGCCATTGTTTCGTTGTACGGTCAAAGAATGAAAGAAAGGGACAGGACGAACAAAAAGACAAAGAGAGAGAGAGAGAGAGAGAGAGAGATAGAGAGAGAAAGAAAGGGGGAAGGGTAATACGAAACAAAACAAAAAGAAAGGGTTTAAAAAACAAAGGATCAGAGTAATAATAAAAAGTTGTGTTTTGCTTACCAATTCGTTTGAAGACGCTTGAAAATCGTGTCAGATTTTCCTTGTTTTCCCCTATTTCGAATAATACAACGTTGCGTTTGTAATCCAATATGGCAGTCCTCTATGTTGTACACATGTCAAAACAAATCACCGAACGACGCGACATTTATGGGGCGGCCCTGAGAAAACTCCTAAGTTGAATATATTAGATTTTTCTCTTCTTTCTTATATACTATCCTTCCCTTTCGCTCACTCTCTCTCTCTATATCTCTCTCTTTCTTTCTTTGTACGTGTGTAAGTATGTATGTATGTATATATGTTATGAATTATACCGAGAGAGAGAGAGAGAGAGGGAGAGGGAGAGAAAGAGAGAGAAAGAGAGAGAGAGGGAAAAAATGTACGACGAATTCTAATTGAAATTTTTTTTAATACACAATTAAACAATTAAGGATTTAAATTTACGTTATCGCGCACTTGTGAATATTTCTTCTTTCTTTATTTCTTTATTCCTTCGTAAAACGCGTCGTAATTCTCTATGTGCAAATAATAAGAGACTTGTGTATATGTGTGTAGAAGGAATAAGGAGGGGAAAAAGAAGAGAGGGGAGACACGGTTAAGCGAAACGATACGCGCGCGGCGAACATCCAACGTAGACTGGCACCCGCGCGCTACGGACGCAGGAAGCGGGGTGAAGAGGTGGTCGTCCGTTACGCGGTGGAAGGGGAAGCTTCGTTCGTGCTCTTGCTGGCTACGGTTCGTTGGTGGGGGAAACGCGCGGCGCGTTACCTCGAGTGGTGGGGGGTACAGCAGTTGACAGTGATTCTCAACTATCGATAACTGTTACCTTTTCAACCCCTTTTTCTTTTTCTTTTCCTTAATTGATTCTTTAAATATTATTAACAAATTTCGATGGATTTACTTTTAACTCGTTTAAGAAATAAGACGATAATACGAGAACATATTTTTCTACGAATTGTAAACTTGAATTTAATTGAATTGAATTGTTTTTTACGTACGTTTGTTTGTTCGTTCGTTTTGCGAAATAAATAAGATTATGTTTTTCGTATGAATTATAATATTAATTTGTTTATATACATACTAATGTAATATCTCGGTAATTATAAATTAATAGATAATATATTTATTTTATACATGCGTATATATATATATATATATATATACATAGAAGTAATTGGAGTTTAATTATATAACAATATAAAGATTGTTAATTAAACTGGAATTTAATCGATATGTAGTAAAGCGTAAAAAAAAGTGGTATCGAAATGTAGACGTAATCCAAATACTTTCCTCATTTGCAAATAGCTCTTCTACTCGTACGGTATCGTATCATACCGTGTTTCTTTCATTTCGAAAGGGTTGCACCATTGTAAATGCATCCGTGTAAGAATACCGTGTAGTCGAAGGCAAAACGTATTCCTGCATTTGCTAATGCAGATCCTTATTAGCATCAATTTTAGGAAAAAAGGAAAGACTGGTATTAGTAAACTCAATGAAATACCTATGATTTCAATGAAAGAAGTTATTTACATTAACAAATGAGAGAAAAGATGATAAAGTTAAATGAAATAAAACGATGATCGAAATTTGTATCATCCAATTAGTATATTATTTTCGGGAAAGGGTAGAATTGGCCGGATTTGCGGTTAATTGGGGTTGATTTTTAATGGAATTAAGCAATATTGAGGAGGATATTGGCGGTACACCGAGGATCGCAGGACTCGTAGCAAATCGATTGGTCGCATGAAGGATTACGGGCGCGGTACGCATGCCGGATACCCGCGCGTACCTCTACCTAGCCGGTATCCTCTGAGCAACCACGCATGGTGGGTCTGGCGAAGCACCGTGACCCACATTTCCATATCGACTACAATCCCAGCTAAAGTATTCTTTTGGAATACTTTTATCTTGTTTATTCTCTTTTCGTATCTCGGGGGGTTGAGTCCATTTCTTTGACCTTTTTCGTACCATAGTTGGTCTACCGAAGGCTCTGTTATTCAGACAGAAGAAAAGGCCCAAAAAGATAAAGAAAGAGAACGATGATTGAAAGAAGAAGACAAAATAGAGCACATTGAGCCAATGGAAAAACGTAATCCTTATAAAAACTGGTTGGTGAACTACCATTTAAAGAAAGTCAAAGAGGGAGAAGACGAATAAACCGTGTAGGTATATATATATATATATATACGTCTCACCTTCTACGGTTCTGATACTACATAAGCATTACTACAACACCCTGGACAACACGTTCGCCAATAAAATTTTTGCTTGACCGTTTTATCGAATCGTAAAATAGGTTTTAATAGCTATCGTTATTTCTATTACCTTGATGATAGAATCCCTTAACCGCTGTTGTATTCCATTTTCATTCAAGGACACAATCGTCTTTATCACCTGCAATCGAAAATTCAACAGATTAGAAATCAAAACGAACGAACGTAAATTGTTCATTTATAACTTTCGTTTTACACATTTTATCGTAAGGAACGAAATTAAAAAAAAAAAAAAGAACGAAAATGACGTATACGTCGCGTTAAATGTTACGGTTGAAGTGTAACCTTCGCGAAAGAGAATAATCACGATTGAATCATCTTTAAAATCATATGCACAGACAACCAACAACGCCTCGAGACTCGTCGAACGAGTTTGCGATCGCGTAATAATCCACGAACCTAGTCTCTCCTTGATGATTCATGAGTCAATAATAATGACACACGAACGCTATACGCGATTTTTGAATCTTAATGTCTCTTCTGTATGTTTATATAGGTTTGTCTGTCATGCAATAATATAATGCAATAATATATGTGTATACATCGTGTTGTAACATAAATATTTACATATCTACATGCATACACGTATTCATATAAGTAAGAATATAAATTATAGATACCAACGCGTTCTCAATTGCATGTGTCAACTAGCATGAGATAATCTAATTGTTCGATAATGTATGATCACCGAGTATAATTGTAAGATATCTTTTAATAATAATTCGATATAATATTGCAAACATAAAAAAAAGAAAAAAGACTCGGAGATACAAGTCAACGAATATCAAAACTTTCTTATATAAAAAAAAAAGAGAAAAATGTAAATTAGTTAACAAATTAATTGATTTATCTTTATCGAATACTTTATATTCATTGTTTAGTTTGCTTTATACAATTTGCCGTACTTTTGTATTTAAATTAACTTCGAAACAAGAAAAAAAAGGGAACGTAAAAAAACCATAGACAAAGAAAGCAGAGGATTGGTCAGGCGGTGATGGGTGGGGAGGAGTTGGGAAATAAAATTAAAAATAAAACTTGCGTAGAAAAATGTGTTCCTAGCCTTTGTTTTTTTAAAACGGAGAAACGTTTAACGAGCATAGGGAACTAGTCGAATTCCCATAGCAAAGATTCAAAACAATGGAGAAAGGGGGTGGCTTAGTGGGGTAGGAGTGTGGGGGCGTGGGGACTAGGGTGAGGAGATAAATATCAAATTAAATACCACCAACTTTATAATATTTTTAGTTATTTTCATTATTCTCCCATCAACCACATCTATGATACAAAACTATTTAATCAGTTGATAAACCAATTAAATTTCACTTTATCACGGGACAAACAAAAGAAAAACGTATCAGAAAAAAGACGTTGTGATTGGACAAAAACAACGAACGTAGAGAAGGAGAGAGAAAAAAGAATCAAAAATATTCTTTCGATAATAAAATATTTGAAATTCGTACGTGCTTAAGTAGTTACAAAGGAGAATGGTACGAACGTTTTCCCTACTTTATCAAGGAACAAAAAAACGTGACATTGATTTGATGAATATGTATTTCCCCCTACTTTTCGAACGGGTTACGATTCGTTTCGCACAGACACACACCCTCCCGTCCCCATTTCGAAAGTGAAGAAGAACAAGAAAAAGAAGAAGGTACTTCGAAAAGTAGCCTTGTATGTAAATATATAATACCTAGCAGTAGTAGTAGTAGTAGCAGCAGCAGGAACTCAGATGGGTGCATGCGCATATCGAGCTTTAATCGTAGCTTGTTTTAACTCGGTTCTCGTCTCTCCTTCGACTACTCAGCTACTCGAGCCTACTCGTCGAGGACACATACGTGACTTTAATTTTGATACGGGGAGGAATTCCCATGCTACGAACACGCTCCTGCGGTTTAATTTCACCAACGCAGCAACAGCAGCAACAGCAGCAGCAACCTGCCTACGTTTCCTAACAACCATATACCTCTCTCTCTCTCTTTGGTACTTGGTCTATCCTAAGTCATCCCCCTTTTAACTGATACATAACTTCTACGTACGCAACAACCAACCAATCGTTCAATCGTTCGACGATAAAAAGATGATACATGAAAACAAGGATCATTCAAAAAGTATTTATTCTTTTAATACAACATAAATATTTACTTTTTCTTACCTTATTTAAACGTGCATCACTCTCTAATACCGTAATCTGAAATATCATCAAACGTTAAAGAGAGAGAAAAAGAAGAAGAAGAAAAAGAAAATATATCAGTTTCTCGAGGAGAAAAAAATCAAGAAGATAGAAGAAAGAAAAAATGAAATGACGATTCGAAGAATCGTTCTTGCGTTTATATACGCGCCTGCCTACGGCCACGCATCTTTTTGCTTTCTTTTCTTTTCCATTTTTCTTTTTTTTTTCTGTTTTTATTCCTTTCTTTCTTTCTTTCCTTCTTTCTTTCTTTCTCTTTCTATCCTATTCCATTCTATTCTATTCCATCTCTTTCTCTTACGCACGCACACATTTTCCCTCCAACATCCCACCCACTTCCCATTTCCTTCTACTCTTCCACGCTTCTTCGTAGGTTCCTTTTTCCTCCTTCATAGACGAACACAATCCCCCTCTACCCCTTCACCATTCCGCCGCCACTACTATAGGACGGCAACCCTAGACAATAACTCTTTTGTCTATGGCCGAAGGCACGTGGCGCAGGAAAATTACTACGCTGCCAGTTTATTGTAAACATTTGTCCGCGCAAATAGACTCAGGAGGGCGAGATCATCTCTTGATTTTTACCTTTCTCTTTTACTCTCCCTCTCTCTCTCTCTATCTCTCTCTCTCTCTCTTTTTCCCCCTTTCTTTCTTTTTTCCTCTCCTTATCTTTATCTTTATCTTTATTTTTATCTTTATTTTTATCTTGATCTTTTCTCTTTATCTCGACGCCTCCTCCTTGGCGTGTAACGAAAGAAAACGAAGAGGTAAGGGGGCGGGGAAAAGGAGCCAAAGCATCCTCCACCACACCACCCCCACCCCCTCTGCGCCGGCTTGCCCCCCCCCGTTTTGTTTTCTCGAGAAAAACCACTCGGATAATACGAGACTGTCTGAAAGAGAGACTCCGAAAGAGTCTACGTAATAACGGCGAGACGTTTCTTAAATTTCTTTTCGACCAATGAAAATGGAGGAAAGAACGAGGATCGAACTAGAGTAGTGGGTTGGGGGTGAAGGGTTGGGGAAGTTACGAACACGAGCCCCGGTCTAACAAAGTACGACTGCATTTATAATGTTTACACGCGAACTTCGCGTATCGTATTGCTTGGGAAAAAAAAGAAGAAGAGGAAAAAAGTAACATCCTATTTATAAATATAAATTCTAATTTAGATTTACGCGTATTTTTTCTTTTTTTTTTTTTTATTTTTCCCAAATACAATTTTCTTGACAAAATTTATCGAGATAGAATTTCGTAAGAAAGTTTATAAGATTTGTAATAGAATAAGGTAATTGGGTTGGAATATATTTTAAGCCGAAAATATGTTGGAATTAAAATTTCGATGGGAATTTTGAATGCATTTCAAATTGGAAACGAAGTTCGTAAAAATCGTATGTCCTATGTGGTCTCTGAAAAATGGCTTTAATTCGGAAACGAGATCGTATCTCGGGGGAGAGTAAGTTGTGGGGAATGCATATTACGATCGCACGAACTTTTTTTGTTTTCCTTCTGATTTTTGCTAATCGAAACCACCATCCCCTCCTCCTTCTCTCGAAGTTACGCCGAAATGTATTTTTTTTTTCAACGTCTTGTATATCGTAAAAATAAAAAAAAAAAGAAAACTAAAAACCAATTCTCTCGCATGAATAAATTTGAATTACGCTTTATCTTACTATTTTTTTTAATTTTTCACGAAAAATCATTCCCCTCTGTTCGATTTGATCATCGGTTATAACAGAACACTCTGTACATTGTCGTCGTGCATTTATTATAGATTAATATACGTAAATGCATATTTACGTATACATATCTAGTACAAAATTTCGTTACACGGATTTCAAAGAACGGGTTAAATAGAGTGAAAATATGGAACACGATGATGGGTACGTTCGTGAAAGCTCGAATGTTGCTATGACAACGATCCATTTACGAGTAACATAACAAACTACGTATCTCGACTTAATAACTTTAATAATTCTGCTGTTGTGTTTTAAAGTTTCATTTCTTTACACACCACACCGTGTGTAAATATATACTTTTAGGCAACACGACAGATTTTTATATTATTGTACATCGTACTTTTACTTTTTCAGAAAATATTGTTTCCACTCGTTCAACTCGTTACCAACTCGTAATCGATATTATAAATGTTTTCCAAACCCTCTTCTCCCCACCCATAAATCAAATATAAGCACCACAATCGCGTTATTTTTTTAAAATAAATATTACAGTTATTTTTTTTTGTTTTCCCTAACAACCGGGACCGGATTTTGCGTTATTATTTCTAATTGATGATAAAGATATAATTTTTCGAGTTATATTTTTCTCAAAGGTATAGATACCTTTGATACTTATTGAATGCACTTTTCGTGCATCTACAATTTTTTATTTCATAAATTAATTCTTTCATTTATTCCGCTTGTAAATGATGTATGAAATAATAACGTTTACTTTTCAGATATTATATTTTAATTACTTTAATTGGTCAAGTGTAAACTTTTTCTCGATTATTATTTATACGAACATTTTTGTTTTTTCCTCCCCCCTTTCTCAAAAATGAAATTTCCTATAAAGTATTCAAATCTTGTCGAAACGTTTCAAAACTCGCCCCGAACGTGCGAACCTTTATACGGATGATAAAAAAAACCTGTTAAACATCAATATTATGATGGATTAAACTGAAACAAAAATAATAAAAAAAAAAGAAAAATTATGAATTTAATGGGGGAGAAAAAAGACACTATCAAATTTAACCCATCGCGTCATTTCCGCTTTTATTTGTGCGTCACGTTATTTCGCTATCTGTCGTAGACACATTCGTTGGATTCAATCTCGTAAGCCGGATGTTGTCGATAAGCGTGTAGTATGTTGCGAGATAAATCCAAAATACTGGAAGAATTCGAATCATATTTTGACGATGGTCCGAAAGGAAAATATATACCATATTGTAAGAATGAAATCATCCTCCACCCCCCCCCCCAAAAAAAAAAATTAAATAAACATGATCAACGAGAAAAGATCTCAAATTTTGGTGTATTCATTTTCAACAATTTTTCTTTTCATTTATCTCATATGGAAAATAATTAATAATTAATATAATCATTTATTAGATAAAATATGAAATCTATATAATATAATTTAAATTAAATTATATTTGATAATTATATTCGATCTCGTTTGAAATCTCAACAAAATTAGTTTATGCAATAAATTAATCATCTCAGACACACTCTCTCAAACACTCTCTCCCTTTTACACCCCTCCCCCCTTTTGTTTTCTTCTTCTTTTACACAATGGTGATACGTGATCTATCGCAAGGAACGCGCAGGATTTGGGGTGATGGTAGAAAAACGTCAATCCAATGCGAGACATTGAGAATGAGGAGCGAAAGCAGGCAATTTTTTAAGTGTGCAAGGGAGGAGGAACCCCTTTTTCGAAGAAAAAGAAGAAGGGTAAAAGGAAAGGGGTGGCTCGAGTACCCAGGCAAGATCAAGACATGGGGAATACATTCGACAATTTTTCTCGAACATCTTTCTATGTTTACGAACCTATGCATTACGTATATATATATATATTTATATATGTATATGCAAATTATTATAGTCCCATACATATGTATGTACGATAAAGACGTTTCCTTATCGCCATAAAAATCTTCCATTCTTTTTTTTATGTCATTTTTATTATACCATTTTTACCACTATCCTTGATGCTATTTCGATAAAAATAATCAAATGTATATTTATGTGTCTCTAATTTTAGGTTGAAATATTTTTGATTATTCTATCAAAAAAGAAAATGAAAATATAAGGACAATCGAGATACTATCTTCGATCGAAAAAGCAAAGAGATTTATACAAAAGTTAATTGTCACATTTGTTTTTATACATTTACATAATTAAATTGAACAACCGATATAATATAAGATATATATATACATAGAGAAAATGATTTATTATTTATAATTAAACATTATTCGTATGGAATGATTAATTCAACTTGGTAGTGAAATATTCTCGATGGAAAAATAATATTCGTTTAAGATGATAGAGACGAATGTGAAATTTCACGATGCTCGTAAAATTAACGTTAATGAATACTAAATATATTTCATAAGTCTGTTAAGCGTGAAATATTACGCGTAATCAGGTTAATTTTCTTCTAGCATAAGAAAGTCGAGGTCGATACAGTTTCCCAACCCCCCTCCCTCTCCCTCTTTCTCTCTCTCTCTCTCTCGTCAAATGATTCTACGAACATTTGGAATTTCATGGTCGAAGTAGAAATCTTGTTTGGTGCGGTCGCATTTACACCGAAATTTAATTCTACCAGCTCGGAGGAGACAGACAAATCTAATGAAAATAATTTTAAACTTTGGACGAGACATCGGAGTGAAGTCCAAGGGTCAGTTGCATCAAGTACGTTCATTAGAGATCCTTGATCACAAGGACTCAATTCAACGTTGGTTCAGGAAGAGCTTATGGTTAAATTTTGATTCAATCGAATGGTTATTTGATCATCGTTCTACGAACTGAATAATTTCTACACATAATCTTATATATTTAATAAAAAAAAAAATTAAAAAAAGATATTCAATTTGGAAATGAATGATTTCCTTTTTCCTTTTCTATTTTTTTTTTTTTTTTATTAAACAATGGATTACCGCGAAATAATTTAAAAATCGAATTATTTTATCGAATAAAATTGATGATCGAAGTTTTAAATTTAAATTTTGAATTCGAAGAATGAAAACAACAAAATGTCGGGATTATTTAATGAATGATATTATTTAAATGATCGTGCATACCCCCCAACCCCTCGAAAAAAAAGAAAAAAACGACGACGACAATGAATCTCGTTTACAATTTTATTCGCAACTCGAATAATATTTTACGTAATTATTATGAACACGTTTGTGATTTCTGTTTTATCGGTCGCGTTTTAAATGTTGATTAAATATTGAGTGAAATTATTTACTAACAACCAATCCGTGAATCTTTCTCTCTCTCGTTGGGTAATACGCACAAAGTGAAAACAAATTGATACTTTTTATTTTCTCGAACGCCCCATCTATCGAAAATAATTTGATTACTCAACGCGTTTCTGTATTATCGATAAAACAGAATACATTTATAAGCGGTGATTTAATCTGTGGAATAAACCAAACGATTTTTTTTCTAACGAAAATCGATCTCGACCCAATTTCTCGTACGATCGTTCAAAAACGATTAATTTATTTATTTATTTAAATAACTGATACGAATGTATCGATTCGTTAAAAAAAAAAAAAAAATAAGTAGGATTTCATCAGAAACTTTATACTCGTCGCATTGATTCAACTTACAACCACATACCTGTCCGTTGCAGGCACAAACTTGCAACTCTAATTTAAGCGCATATATGAGCTCTCAAGTACACCGTGATATTTGTACCGTCAAATAATTTCTGTACATTTATATATAAAAATTATTTTATTCTACTCAATGTGTGCTAAATAAACGTTAATTATAATAATTTTGGTGTAAAAAAATAAAAATATAAATAAATAAATGTTTCCAATACGAATTGAAATATCGTAAAAATTAACCCTTTCTTTTATTACATCGATAGGCTTTGTAGCTATGAAATAATTGCTTTAATTTACTAAATATAACTCATAATATTCTTTGATCTATATCTAATAAAGTAATAATAATCGAGGGATTGATTTCAATCGTAAAAAGAGACGTATAAACATTTGAATTAGAAACATTTCATATCCAATTACTTCATGTGACACACCGAATGATTTCTCCCACTACTTCTTCTTCTTCTTCTTGAACTCGATGGTATGTAAGAAGATGGTAGGAATCGCATAGCAACCGAGACAACCAAAAGAGCTCGCTGAAGTAGAATGAGTCACGTTCGTTCGTGAACGAACACGCTTTTCCTAGTTGTTCGTTGACCGAGCTCTTGGGATTGTATCAGTCTGTTAGTTTGCTTCGTGTGTGATAGACCCGGAACGGTACGCGTTCAATTTTTTGTTAAAAAGAAAATAGTGAAAAAAGAAACAACAAGTGTGAAAGTACGCGAGTTATCGTTGAATTTTTTAATTTAAATTTGAGATTTTTCAAAAGAAATGTATAAAAAATCAAACGTTAATCATCCAATGGCAAATGACAGGATCGTTAAGTTTATCCAACTTTATCGATCATGCGAGTGCCTTTGGAATGTCTCTTCCAAAGATTACGGAAGCAAACTTTCCCGTAATGCTGCCTTCGACACGATATCCAGGAAAATGCAAATACCAAGTCTCGGGCCGCGCGAAGTTGCCCGGAAAATAAAAAATCTTAAATCGGCTTACCAACAGGAGGTAAAGAAAATCGAAGAAAAATCAGTAATGGGAGTTGTTTATCGACCGAGCGCCATATGGTTCGATTTGCTCGACGAATTTCTTCAAAAATCTGAAAAATCGGTTGAACATAATCGTAGACTGAATGATTATCAATCAACCGATCGATCTAAAACGGTAATTTATTTATATTCATTCGTCTATTACTCGTTTATTCAAATGAATAATTGAGAAATCTATTTCTTATTGCACGCAAATGTTGATTCGAACAAAAAAAAGGTTTAGAAATTTTGTAATTTTGTATTTTACACCTAAAAATTAGTATTTTGATTTTAATCTGTTGCAACACATAAAATCTGTAAGATTTTTTTTACAATAGTATTTATTTTAGAAGTTACGTTTGTTTTCAATGTACTGTAATTTAACCACACAATTCGTTTGTTATGCAAATCTCGTACTCGTCATAAAACACTATTCGGCATTTTTTTTTTATTTTCAATCGAAGTACTAATTTTTTGTCTTATGCTATTAATATGAACAATAATAATTAACAATTCGTACGCCCGATATTCTTATCCGATAAGAATAAGAACAGGATCGTCATAAAAATGTGAAACAATTGTTTTTCAGAATCAGCAAATTGTGTCTAACGTTAACGATAAAAATAATGTTACGAATTTAACGAAAAATCTTTTTAAATACGAATCAAGCTCGGATAATGAAAGTAATTCTTCCTCGAGAAGAAATAAAACATCTGTAGTCGATGTTATTTTCAACGAAAGACGAAGAAAACGAAGGAGGAAGGAAAACGGCAGGATAAAACTTAACGAATACAAAAGTTTTGGCAAATACGTTGCTACGAATTTGAACAAAATGCCATTCGAATATGCGATATCAGCAGAAACCGAAATTCACAGTATAATAATAAAGTACAAGGTTTATGCTATGCGAAAAATCATTTATCCGACGAGTAAAAAAACGGAAACAACGACAACGAGCATGATCAAAGAGCATTCGTCAACTTATCTACCATCTCCGAATTTTTCTTCGATACTTCGTCATAGAATCAAGGAAATACGACCAACGTAAAATAGTTTCGTTAATAGGATCGGAGATACGTTTGATATTAGAGCCAAAGTTTTTAAATTTATTATTGTATTTATATTAAACGTTTAATGGCACCCAGATGACAATTCCAGTCGTCGTATCATTCGTAATTTTAGATATATTTTTTTGATAAAATAAGCGATATATTTATAATAGGTATTATAACTAAATTATATTAAAAAAAAAACATCCTTTTTTTAAGCATAGTCTAATTACGAATTTTTAGCTGCAATTTATTTATATACAGAGTGTCCCTGTTCTAATTGGTGGTGGAAACTTAGCAGAGAGTAATTTTACATGAAAAGAAATAGTAAGTCGAAAACTTATGATAAAATTTGTTCGTACGAGGAATTTGTAATAATTATTTTGCAAATTTTGTAATTTGTCGAATACTTGTGCACTTGATTGAGCATGCAACTTTGGATACTAAAAGTCTTGTTCGATGAGTATAAGATAACTGATACAAGAGATTTTGACAATGTTTGCGAAGTATAATAACATATTACGGTTTATGCAGTTTGCATGAAAATTATATGACGGTAGAGGAATCATTTGAATATGATCATTGATACATAGTATTCATCTAGTCGGTAAAAAATATTAGTTTTAGCATATATTGCAATAAATATTTATACGTCGTCGATATTTAATGCACAATGCATAAACCCTTATTTATATGTCACGAACGGTCAATAAAAACTATATTTTTATATTATATCTCCAAACGTTATAATGTCTTAAGAAAACACCAAAAAATTATCTCGAAAAATATTAAAGAATAAGATAATAAATCTAATAGAATCAAGAGTGTACTCTTATCTAAAGAAATTTTCAAACGTATTAAACTGAATTGTATTCTACCTTTTCTACTTGCCATTAATTTTTCATATAAAACAATTTCTTGTTCGTTTATACGAACACCCTGCATAATAACGATATAATAAGTAGTCTAATTAAATTATGTCACAACGATCATATATATATATATACATACATGTTCCTAATAAATACAAATTTATAGATTAATAGATATAATATGATATGAAAACATTAAAAATAATTGTATAGAGAAAATAAAAATATACGAAATTATTTAATTAGAAATAATTTTTTCGATTCGAGTTTTCGTTGTCGAATGTTAAAAAAAAAAAAGAAAACAAAAACAAAAAAAATAAAAGAAGCAGTAGGAATTGGAGGAGGAGGGAGGAGAAGGAGAAAAAAATGAACTTAAATTTCTTGCACAAGTGGATTTTCTTTTCTTTTTTAATCGTCAGCGAAGCGTCTCGTATCACAAAGGGTTAACGATATTCCATTTCTGAGCGATCGCGCTTCGCCGATAACAGGGCTTTCCATTCTCAACAGGCTTTCCGATTCTCGACGGCGTAAAATCAACAAGGAAGTGCTCTCTCTCTCTCTCTCACCCTCTCTTTCACTCTTTCTCACTCTCCCATTCTCTCTCTTCGTCTCCCTTTCGCGAATATATCTTCTATCAGCTCTTATTTTATCGTTTATCGATTACGGCCGCGCCGTTCTCTTCTTCGGTGTTTGTAATGAAGTTGGCATAAAATTGCAAATGCCCTTTTACAATATCGTTACCTGTAAAATCGAAAATGAACAAAAAGAAAATATAAATTAAATATATATTTTATAAAAAGAAAAAAACAAGCTAAGCTAAGCTAATCAAAGCGATGCAAAGCAAAACAAAAACATAATATAAATAAATTATAGAACCAATATCCTGTTTATAGTCGAGCAAATATATTGAATGAAAACTAATCTATGAAAGATTTAATTATATATTCAAAATTCGAAGAAAGAGATAGATAGAGAGAAAGAGAAAGAGAAAGAGAGAGTAGAATATACAAAAAAAATAAAATAAAATAAATCAAACAAAAGATAACAAAACATAAATAACATGAGCAATATCCTGTTTATAGTCGTGCAAATATATTGAATGAAAACTAATCTATGAAAGATTTAATTTTATATTCAAAATTCGAAGAAAGAGATAGATAGAGAGAAAGAGAAAGAGAGAGTAGAATATAAAAAAAAAAATAAAATAAAATAAATCAAACAAAATATAACAAAACATAAATAACATGAGCAATATCCTGTTTATAGTCGAGCAAATATATTGAATGAAAACTAATCTATGAAAGATTTAATTTTATATTCAAAAATCGAAGAAAGAAAAAGGAAGAGAGAGAGAGAGAGAGAGAGAGAGAGAGAGAGAGAGAGAGAGAGAGTAGAATCTGTCCCGTGGTAGAAAAAAAAAGGAACAAAAATGGACGAACGTGTGTTAGTGGTGCGTTTGATCCTTGGAATAAATCTCGACTATACGTTTACATATATGTAATATGTATCAGATCTATAGAAGAGAAAGTTCTGTCGATTTTTAGAATCAAACAAAACTAATACATTTTGTCATACCTCGAATAAACATTATTGAATAATACTAATTGCCTGTCCATTATTTACGACTTTTTACCAGTTTGATAGCAATTTGTATATCCCTATTTTAAAAAAAAAAAATATACTTTTTATACCTAGACCCGATACAATAATAAACGCACGAACTTTTGATTCAACCTAATAATAAATATAATACATATATATCGGACAAATAAAATCTAATAAAATAATATAATTATTCTACTATTCTCTAACAATTATAACAAGTTAGAAAAAACTTGTGAGATTCACCCTAATAAAATAATATATATTTACTAGCTGCAAAAAAATGGACTTACTTACACCACTTTCAAAATAAACGTTCCATATATATACATATATATACATATATATATATATGATATATATGATATATATATAGAAGGTGATGGGTGAAAGATCGAGTAGCGTTCGTTCATAGGGCCAGTCTTTAACGTCAGCAGGTCGCCTTGAAGACGCGTTTTCGTTGTAGCCAGGGATATCGACCGAGCCGACTCGACTCGACTCGACTCGACTCGACTCAACCTTCTCCACTCGGCTGGGTGCTGGGGAGACTCGGGGGTGGTTGGGGGTGGAAAGGCTGGAACACCCGGAGGGTGGGAAGGGGGGGGAGGGTTGAGTCTCGACGATCCCACGCGTACCACCACCATTACCACCATCACCAACCACCCACCCCCATCCCCTTCCAAGCCGCCTACGCGTCTCCCTCGATCTCACCCATACACCCACACACACACACACACACACGCGTGTACCTATATATATATACTTTACGTTATACCTCTTCATCCAGAGGTATATATACGATCCCAGTAGCAGTACTACTCTCTTCTAACGACCATAGGAGTGCGCGCGCCCACCACCCAACGAGGAGAACGACCAAAGAGAGGCCTCCTCCACCAGACAGGACGTAGGCCGTGCAAACATTCTATGCAAAATTCTCACCACTTTTATATTTCTTCTACTACTTCTTCTTCTTCTTCTTCTTCTATCCCCGTGTATGTGTCTGTCTGTCTGTCTGTCTCTGTGGGTGTGTATTTTTTTTTTTTCTTGTTTCTTCTTTTTTTTTCCTTTAATTTTTATTCCTCGTCCTTATAATCTCTCTCTCTCTCTTACTCTTTTTCTATTTCTTTTTTTTTATTTCTTTATTTCAATTTTTTTTCTATTTCACTCAGCGAACTTTTACCTCGGCAACTTCCCCTTTAGTTAGTTCATAGCGTTTGGGAGGAGGGGGGACGGAACGAATCGTCGTAAGCTTTGCGTAGAAAACATCGGATTCGTTAGGATATCATCCCATTCGCTCGTTCGTATGTTCCTACGTACTTTCGTACGTTCGTTCATTCGTTCATTCGGTCGGTCACGACTGCATCTATGTTCTTTTATTCTCCTTTCAATGAAAATCGATTTTCTACAGAGGCTTTTCACTAGGATTTTAGCAACAATTGTTAAAGCGTCAGACGTTATTTCACACCTGTTCTCGATACTCATATATATATATATATATGCAATGGTATACTTTTTGTGTATTATTTATTGTTAATTATATAAATACAATAGTAACTCGATTTAAACGCTTTATCAAATATCTCTATTGCTTGATTATTAAATAATTATATTTATTGTAAATGTGTTTAAAATAGGTTTTTGGATTTATCATCATCGTTTGATTAATCAAATAACCAAAATAAACTTATTGTTAGAAAAACAATCCGTTCGTGTTTCTTCCACAATTAATATAAACTTTTGTTTATTTTAACTTATCTAATTAGTGATACTCGTAATCATTATCAAGAACAATTACTGGGGGATGGTAATCTAATTATAAAATTAAATAGAAAGAAAAAGTATATAAACCTGATCTTGAAGAAAAATAATATCATTCATCGTGTTAACAGTAGATTAACGAACTGGACCAATTTGATTCATTAAAAATTTGATTACTACATATATATATAACTTAAATATTATTTTATAAAAAACAAATGATAGTATTTAATTAACTAATAAAATATACATAAATATTAATTTCTTCCCTTCTACTAAACCCTTCATTCAAACATATTTTATTCACATATACATATATATATATTATATAATATATTTAACACTAAATTTACAGACTGATTGTAAGCCAATTTTGATTTATTAAAAACTTAATTA